ACTTGGATAAGGTGAGGGTTTAAAAGGAGCCCCACATTTACCTGCCCTTCATTCACAAATAAGTGTGACATCGAAATGGGCTACAAGTGCTTTGAGGAGAAATCTTGTTCCATGTTTCCTCCAGAGACCAGCCTCCTGCTCGCATCACTGTAGCGAAGGCAAACGACTGAGTCTAGAAAGTAAGAGTACTGCTCACATACCACTAAGCACAGTGGGGTTCCTGGCCAAAGTTACTGGAAACTTGAACCCCTTTTTAAGTCTCAACTGATTTGTGCCTTGCTCTGTCCTCACAGGTGGGCATGTTTCCAAGTATAGCCTTGCATTCATTAGTGTAGAACAGTAGTAAAAAGATGTAAAAGGTCATAAGAACAACACAAGGAAATTCAGTTGAGGGAAATGACCACTTGGAGATTCTAAAGAAAGCAGAATGCTAGAAGGCCTAACTTTCCAATCATTCTCACCAGCCCCGTCAAATTCTATTGCATTTAAATCTCATTCTTTGGAGGAAGATAATTCCGTTTAATGCATCCCCAAAAGCTGAAGCTTGCCTTGATTAGGATTTAAAATAAAGTTCTGTTTTTTTGCGGCACAGCTTTTGCTCTGCCTATTCATGGCAACAGTGAACCTCGGCTTCTCACTGTAAAAAAATCTGAGTTTTACATATTAATTGACAGTCTTCAGGTTAGTAAGGCTACTATGCTGTTAGAATTTGCATGTTTAGGTATATCCCACTTTTACATAATCCAAGAAGCATAAATTGCTACACTGACAAATGAGAAACTCGGACTCCTCTCTTGCACTCCTGATTGGTTCCTGCCCATCATCTGTTCCTTCCAATCCGGGGAAAATCCAAGAAGGCACTAGGCTTGAGGGATAGGACTCTCCCTACAGATTCTTCTTGGGGGAAAAATGAAGATCCCTATTTTTTTCCAGTTCAGTTAAGCCATTTCAAAGTAACGTGTTTGGTATATTGCTTATAACTACCATCACCGCCCTTTGTAGGCACTTTTAGCAACTTTCTAGAACCTGGGAGTCCAGGGTGTCACCCTCTAGGGGCTCTCTACCTTTGCAACCCACTATGTTGTAACACTCATTTCTCTCATGTGTCTCCTTCTACTAGAAATTTAGCTCTTTGGAGGATCGTGTTTGTATGCCCCTAGAACAGATTCTTAGCTCATCAAAAGCTAGATAAATGAATGAGCAGTGGAACATCATGAAAGTTACAGAAAGTCTTGTTAAACAAGGTTTCTGATGTGGGGCACCAGAGTTAATCTGATGGAGTCGGTGAATAAAGAATCCCTTTGTCCGATGGGATCAGAACTGTAGTGCAGTCTTGCTGACCACCAGTCCAAGCGCCCCCCACCCCCCCGCCACGACCCTGCTATCCTTATGCAGATGTTAAGTAAATTTCTGTACAAAGTCGCTGAAATAACATGTTTCTTTTGAACATTTGACACAGTAGAAAGTGAGTACCCCCCGCCCCTGCAATGTCAGTATATATGGTGTTTAAAAAACAAAATATTTATGTTACTTGTTTTTCTATTTTTGTAATTGGTATGCTTTAATATATATTTGTCTTTGGGATAGAATAATGATTACAAAAAATTCTGGGTAGGATGAGCATTGTCTTCATTTAGTAATGAAAGAGTGTCAAGATACTTTGTATATTTATATTTTTCTCATGGAGAGTGAGAAATAAATATACTGGGAAAACTTTTTGCTAACCTACTTCTATTCATAAATGGTGTTTTCTTAAGTGCTATTTGATAGTCGTAATTGTGGATGTTTACACAATTACGTCTGTGCTGTGGTGTGTGTGTGTGTGTGTGCATGCACCTGTCTGTATATTATCAGGTCCCATGATTGTAAATACAAAATTTCTTTCTCAGACTCTCTCTCCTTTGCATTTCCACTGCCTCTGTCCTAATTCTGATGTATACAACCTTTTAAGATAGATTTTTAGATTAAAAAATGCTTACCCATGAAAATAAAAATCATACAGATATTTTCAAAGATCTCTTCACCCTTCACCAATCATGCTTTGCTCCCTGAGCTGGCTTCGTGGGCGTGTGACCCAGGGGGCTACACAGAGTTCGTGCAGTGGGAGGGACCTGGGCTTGTTTTCTTGCTCTGCTGTTGCCTTCTTGGAAATTTTAATCATTTTGAACACAGGGTCCTGCATTTTCATTTTGTACTCAGCCTCGTGGAATACGTAGCAGTCCTGTCACCACGCCACTCCTCTCCTGTTCCCCTTCACTTATGTAATCATTCTTGACTGTGTTACTTCCAGAATTTTCTGTGTATGCAGGCACATTTACATGTGTGTATTAGTTTTTACATCAATGGCATTATTCTATACCTATACTATAGAATATATATTCTATCTTTGAAATCATGCTTCTTCAGAAATCTGTACTTAGAATCTATACTTGCTTTGACTCCTCAATGTTGTGTGATGGAATTTTTCCGTTAAAGAGTCTCTGTCTCCCCAGCACCCATATCCTCCTCCCCGTAGGCAGTCTCCATACTGCTGTGGAGTGATTTTTTTCTAATTCTGGCCATGTCACTCTCTGCTAAAAATGGACAATGCTTCCCTGGGGTGTACAGAATACATTCGCATCCTGGTAAACACACTGGACTCTGTGGAACCATGGCCAGTGTGATAGCAAACTGGAATTCTGAGCGTGAAGGTCTGAATGATGCCTCTGTTAGACTAAGAGACTCAACTAAGATAAGCCCTCACTGCTAAGCAGCCAGCCAGCTGGTCTTGGCCAGGATTGCCTAATCTGAACATAGGGTTTATTTTCAGACTTTGGAACATCCTCTGTAACAGGTAGAAAAAATGAGATCTTCCTTTTTTCTTACCATTACTTTGTCGAGTTGCTAATAATCAGCCTTGAAAATAGCAAAGACTGTATCATTTGTGCCTCCCCCCCAATTTATATGTTGAAACCGTACCCCCCTTGAGTGATGGTATTAGGAGGTGGAACACCTGGAAGGCAATTAGGGCCAGATGAGGTATTGAGTGTGGGGCCTCCATGACGGGATTAGTGTCCTTAGAAGAAGAGGAGACTGGAGCTCTATCTCTGTCTTGTGAGGACCGCAGAAAGGCAGCCAATGGAAGCTGGGAAGGAGCTCTCACCAGAACCCAGCCCTGCTGGCCTCCAGATCTCAGATTTCTCAGCCTACAGAGCTATGAGAAATGAACATCTGTTGTGTAAGCCACCCAGTTGATGATATTTTCAGACAGATGAGGAAGAAGGCTTTTAGCTTTCTATAAACTGACTAATCTACAGTATAGGATTAGATCATATAGGCTTCTTTTATTTTATAGATGAAGAGAGTGAGCCGGGGAAACAACATGGGTCATGTCAAAAGCCATGGAATTTAGTTATGAATTTAAATTAACATCTACTGCCTTTCAGGTTAATAGACTGTGACATCTTGGAATTTTCCTGAACGCTCTAAATTCTGAGGTCAGAACAGGATTCTGGAAGAGTTCAGAGACATCTAACTATTACAGCAACAACTATTTTCATTGCTTCCAGTCCTGCATTTCTTAGATGTGGATGTTGGATTGTCCAAGTTGGTGGTTAAAAATGCCAGAGTAATAGCCACACATACGCGTGTGATCATGGGAGAATTCTTCAATCTCTCTGAGCTTTAATTTTCTTAAGTAGAAAACAGATATAATAGTTACCTCACAGATTTGTGATTAGAAATAAACAAGATTATACCCTATCTGTTAACAAATATTTGATAAGCGACTATTCCATATCAAAAAGTTGTGCAAGCAGTGAGATTATGTCAGTGATTCAAACATGTCCCTTGTCTTCATAAAGCTTACAGTCTGGTCAGATTTAAGGTACGAAAAAGTTAGCAGCAAGCACACTTACTTCCTTGCACAGAATCAATTCTCAGTTAATAATACTGACGGTTCATACATTTCTAAATGTTTGTTTTCTTCTCTTTCCTTTTTAAAAGTAACGAATACAGCTGCTTTATCTTCAGGGCTACTCTCCAGTCATGAAAATTGGGGCATTTATATTGGAATCACCATGAAGAAGAATGTCCATCCTCCTGCCCTGCTCTTTACCCCCTGTCATTATTTTTAAATTATTTGCTAGTAGAGAATCTGAACCTAGGCTGATCTGAAAAACTGGCATACATTCGTCCCAGTGCTCTTTCCCTTATGCATTAATAGAACTTTTAAAAAAAAAAATCAGGTTTTGAACTCAGTCTTGCCCCTATGTGAGTGCTTACAAATGGTTTGTCAGGAAATGTTCATCTAATAAAAAGTACTTTGAAGATCTGGATAAGAATTACTTACTTCATGTTAACCAAGCATTTCAGTCTATGTGCCCAGTTCACACGTCCAAGAGCTCGGCCGGGATCTACCTACTCAGAGCGCGCCTAGCAAGGAGACACTGCATGTCCAACAAATCAGCTTAGAGGCCTCACTAAAGGAAAAGCAGCCTAGTGAGGTCCGTGTGAGACCTGCCCGGGAACGTGAAAGAAGATCAGGAAGGTTAGCGTGTCATGCACTCGGGAAGCTCTAGCAGAAGTGAGCCTGACATGCAGGGACATTTCATTGCTTGTGCAAGCAAGCTGCAGATGTCTGCTGTAACTGCAGGGCCTTGCTGGAGCTGCGGCTGACAAGGCCAGCTTCTCAGAACTGCCATCTGTCCGCGGACATGGCAAGCTCTTACCAATGTGTGCTGAGAGGACCAGCATGGAATTGGGGCAGCCTGGGACATGACTTTAATGTCCTCCATCTGTCAAGTAGACTTATTTGGAAATAATGGATCATTCTGAGCAAGAATTGTTCAGGATCTTCTAGAGTAACATTTACCCATAATTCTAAAAGCCAATTGGCATGCCGTTAGTTACCCTCTGTGGAGTCAGAGAGCAGGAATCGGTCTAGTCAATACAATTGCATGGCTCTTGGTGGGGCAGGTGGCATAAATGAAAGGCTTCTCCCCACCGGATCCAGAACCTACCTTCCTTCCTCCCAGGCACTGCTGGAGTTGGGGCTTAGTTAGAACACCGTATTGGCAGTCGTGGGGCTGCCAAGTTATTTCCCTCCAGTCACAGGTCCTGTTGTCTGAACAGCTAAGGCAAGGCACAATCCATTGGCCTGCAATAGACAGCGAAATCTTTGTTCAGATTCTACTAGTGAAATTACAGTTCGTAAGTCACTACAGAGAGAAGACCATTCTGACTGTGTAAGTCCACAGAGCGGGGCATGGCCCCCTGCCAACCAGATAGAATCACAACACGTAGAAATGTTCTGAAATAACACAGTCAGTGACGAAATCAAGTATGAGTCCTGCTCTGTGAAACTACATTCTTAACAAAAAAACAAGTGATTGGGTGCTACTCCATTATTACTTGTTTTTAAATAATACATTAGGTACTAAATAGGACCAAAGTAGATGGGAAGCCACTAATCTTAAGGCAGCTGACCACAAATCTTCATTGACCTAACACAAGCTTAGGTTAGCAATCCAGTAATAGATATATTCCCTGCTTTCAAGAGAGTCAAGGTGTCAGGGGCGCCTGGGTGGCTCAGTTGGTTAAGCGACTGCCTTCGGCTCAGGTCATGATCCTGGAGTCCTGGGATCGAGTCCCGCATCGGGCTCCCTGCTCAGCAGGGAGTCTGCTTCTCCCTCTGACCCTCCTCCCTCTCATGCTCTCTGTCTCTCATTCACTCTCTTGCAAATAAGTAAAATCTTAAAAAAAAAAAAAGAGAGAGTCAAGGTATCAGAGAAGTACTTTAATATTCTGATAACTCATTATTTTGAAGCCTAGGTATTGTTCCTTAACTTGATCGGTGACCTTTTTGGTGTGAATCTCTTCAGCTCATTCTAGTTGCCTTCATTTCTTCAGCTGTAAGACGAGGCATGTATTGTTCTCACATGGCTGGGGGGGAGGATTTCATGAGATAATGCATGTAATGTATCTAGCACAATTATGATATCATATTTACCTTTGTTACTAGCAGACTTCAGGCACAAAATAGGTCACAAGCATTAGTAAATGCTTATGAGATAAATGAATATTGTCAATGCATTTAAGATCTTTTCTATTTTATTGATAAAGTGATATGTATTCAAAATACTTCTGGTTTTAGTGTGAGTAGACACATTAATAATTTATTAGAAAAAATCAAGAAATGATTTTTTTGATTTTTTTTTCCTTTTTCATCTTTTCAGAAATGGAGTTTGAACCAGTACATTGAATACAGAGTGGTTACTTACATCCTTTGTGGAGAATACCCTGATGTCTCCAACAATCACATGCTCTACCCTAAAGGTCTTGCTTATGTTACCACTAGATGTTTCTCTTCAAAGTACTGAGGAGCTAAATATTCCTAGCTGCTTTTTGAGTTAGAAAAAAAAAATAACAACTTTATCCATTCTGGCTTTGCTTTCTGTTAACAAAAGTATCTGGTGTGACATTAATTTTAGTGGGAAGAATTCCTACTTTTAGGCGATGAATATGGTGCATTAACATTTCATGACCTCAAGGATGTCAGAATTGTGTGTTTGTGGAATAGTTAGAAATAAGAAAATATGAAAGAAGATCTAGTTTATGGCTTACTAGTTGATCACAGAAAAGGAAAAAAAAATGTGGGTATATTAAGAGAGAACTGGGAGAGATAAACTAGTACTCTCTGGGAGGATTTTAACTTAATACATTATTGAAATATCTACCTTACTAGATGTTAGGTGCTATTGGTGTTAAAATACAATAACTAAAAAACAAACAAACAAAAAAAACCATTTCATAGCACGTGTCAGATGCTAGGGAGATTCTGAGCACTTTAATATATTAACGTATGTAAGCCTCTTAACTTACAATGCTAAACCTCAAAAAATTTATAATCAGGTTAGAAGGTTACAATTTATACATGTAAAATAATTACAGCATAATAAAAGGAAGGCATAATTGAGTAAAAATATCTGTGTGGTGCCAAAAGAGTCTGGGCTCTAGAGACACACACAGCTGAGCTCTGCCTCCAGCTAGCTCTGTGGACCTCAACTGTGCATTAGAGTCACCTACAAAGCTTGTTAAAATCCCCATGCTCAAATTGTATCCTGGACTGATCAATTCAGAACCACTGGGTATGGAACTCAGGCACCGGGATTTTTTAAATGCTTTCCAGGTGATTCCAATATGCAGCCACGGTTGAGAACCACTGTTTAACTTGGAAAAATTACTTACTATTCTCTCTAGGAGAAAAATATATATAGCACCTGCCATAGTGCCTGATACCTAGCACCCGGTGGATATATTTTTCTCTCCCATCCCCACCTTAAGTAAGCCTTGGCGGTTTAGAATAAAGAAAACATCGTGAGGGTCAGAGTCGTCTGGAAGTTCCCGTGGAGCACATGAAATGTGATCAGGTCTTCTGGATGGATCAGATTTGGAGAGCTGGAATGGGGGTTACTTTGGGGACAGTGACGATGCAGCCCTAACAGCAGTGGGACTGAAGAAGGAAGCGGCCTCCACCAAAGATTCCATATAGGAGCGGAAAAGAAGTCTGCTCCGTAAAAGGCATTTCCAAAGTTTCCAGATGTAGAGAAGAACCATGCTACTAAAAGACATGACATAGAAAATTTAGGAGAGGTGCTGGGTGTTGAATGGCAAAATGAAGACTGTCCTCAAAGGTGCTTGTTTCTCCAACCAATTCTCTTTTGTAATTTTTCTGTGGTTTTCATTCAGAATTTACCTTGCTTCTAATTCTAACTTTGCCCTGGAATATAGTGTTTGTAATCAATAACTACCTCCTGCCTATATATCTTCACATCTTCATAAAGATTTGCGGTCAGTGGGCATCTCTCAAATGGAGTTGGAATGGGGCTTTGGATCTCCCGTGCATCCTCCTCTTTTACAGATGAGGTAAACTAGGACCTAAGAATTAAAGGACAGAAATGGGATCATGCTGTCAATGACAGGCTGGACCAGAACTGAGGTCTCCAATTTGCTGATCCTTTTGTCATGTTAGGCCAGATGAGCACAAAATTAACAGCCGAAAATGAAATACGGCCTAATGACCTCTTTGGTAGCACTTACAGGAAAACCCACAAATAGGTTATTTTAAATGAATTTATCTTTATTTTGAAATGCTGAATTTATTTAGTGGGTTCATGTGTTAACAGAGACCGTGTTTTAAAAAAAAGATCGTTAATTTTCTTTCTAATAGGATGGTGGTATGTGGGGGACATAAATGTGTTTCAGCTAATGAGATTATATTTAGTAATATTTTGAAGGGCTCAGTTTTCATCAGATCCTTGAGTATTTCAGAGCACGTGCATCCTCTCCTCCAAACACTCTCTCCCCCTCTAACCTTGCTGACAGCTAATTTTGCACAAACTGGGGCCTTCTTTGGCCATTTGCTTCTAAAGCTGAAGAAGCAAGTGGCCAATTGCATGCACAAAAATCCAAATATGGGTACAATTAGTTTGCGGGCATAAAATCTCAAACACATCAAAAGGACTCCTGATTGGGTCTCTGAAAACTTGGCCCCAATGGTTCATACTACTATATATTTATACAGTCATAACTCTCTGCATTTTTGTATTAGTTAAAAATGCCCCCCTTTTTTATTGTGATTTAGTAATACTGCTTGAAATAGACATCTGTATAACATCTGCAGGACTGGAGTTTCTTGACATTTTAAATGATACCAGCTCTTAACTAAAATTGTCAAAAAGAGGGACATAAATTCTATGTTATATATTTAAACATTGAATGAATCAAAGCTGTGATTTCTGTAATAGAGTATGACATGTGTTTTAGGGAATGACATTCTAAGGAATAAAAATGGCTTTTGGGAGAAGTTATTTGGTTTATAATTATAGCTTTATATTTAATGCAAGTTAGAGTTCAGCCATTTAAGTGAATCAGATTGGCTGACATAATGGAGAGAAGAAATTCACCTTTGTAACTTAGGGCCACGGTGAGATGTAAAATCATATAGATAGCACTAATTCCTGACTCTATGTTATAAAATAAAGCTGTTTTCACTCAAGAAAAAAATACATCATATTTTCAAAATCAGAAGTATTAAAGTCATATTTCCTTGCTACAAAGAAAAGATGATACTATTTTCTGCTTACATATCATAAAATGCATTTGGAGCTATTTTCCTTTAAGGTACTTCTCATTCAAAAATCACTGTATAAATTTCTTTGTCAGATTAGAAGAATTATTTTTTCATTCTTAAGCAAGAGATTTTATTCTTTGGCTGTGTCTCATAGTTAAATTATTTTCTAAACGCTAAAAATCAACTTAAAATTAAAGAAAAAAACCCCAAAAACCCAGGCCCTCAAAATTATATTAGCTAGTGTTATTGAAAAGACATGTAGACCATCATTTCATTGGCAGGGTGAAAAAAAATGTATCCAGTTTGCTAAATAACTGTAATGTGCTGTGAAAAGAAGATTTTGGAACTAATCTATGGCCATATAAGCTAAAACCGGAGTGCCTGAGTCAACTTCCTTCCAGTGTGTCCACCATGACAGCTGCTTTCAGCAGGAGGGAGTCCTACTGTCAAGGAAGGAACTCTCTGGCCGCAAAAAAATCCATTCTTGCAAACTGCTGTTCCTGGTCTCGCTCATTTGTTTTGAATCTTTAGGTCTTTAGGACTGTTATGGGAGGGGCAGTGAGCCTTGGTTGATCATGCCCTAACTGCTCACAGTCTTCCGTGGGAAGGAGGAGGACTTGGATCTTGGTTTTAGTTCAGCAACCATTTTATTTTTTTTTATTTTTTGAAGATTTTATTTATTTATTTGACAGAGAGAGACACAGCAAGAGAGGGAACACAAACGGGGAGTGGAGAGGGAGAAGCAGGCTTCCTGCGGAGCAGCGAGCCCGATGCGGGGTTTGATCCCAGGACCCAGGGACCATGACCTGAGCAGAAGGCAGATGCTTAACGACTGAGCCACGCAGGCGCCCCTCAGCAACCATTTTAAAATCACTGAAAGATGAAAAAGGGTCATTCTCTGCTTTGGAGAAACACACAATCTAGGGCAGTTATCAGCAATGCACCTTTGATTATATTAATACACACTGTAATGTATGTACTTATACTCCTCTATCTATGTATTATGTTCATTATAAAACAAAAATAAGAATGATTAGATAAAAATAAATACACATATATTTTCATCTTTACTGCCTTCATCCTGTGGACTGTCTATCCCATGCCACTCCATCCCCTTGCTCCAATGCATCATTCCACTCTGAAGACTACTGATTAGTGAAAGAGAGAGAAACATGTAAAGTAAACACTTGGAACATAATGAGGTAAATGCTATGGTAGACATGTGCCCCAAGTATTCTGGGAGCACAGCAGAGAAGCCAATCTGGGGGTGGGCTGGTAAGGAGAGGCTTCCTAAAGAGGAAAATACAGCATCAGGAGAATTAGGCCGAGATGGGAAGAAAACTTTCAGGAGCCGGGGACAGCATGGACACGAGCATGGAATCCTGGAGCTGCACTGTGGGCATGAAGTGAAACCAAGAGGCTAGGAGGAGCTGGGAGACAGGGAGGGCCAGATTTCAAGGCCCAGTGTTGTCAGGCTAAGGGACATGGGCTTGACTGGGGAGTCTATTTTGGGGTCTTCTCTTAAGAAGCTGAGCTACTCAAGTTCCCGAAGGTGTCTGCTCGAAGAAAGCTCCTCCTGTTAAGGACCAGGCACAGAGATTGCTTCGTGACAAGGCCTGGCATAAGTTACAGCAAATTTAATGAACAGAAAAAGATGCCACTTCCTGAGAAATCTCAGTACTGTATCTTTGACTTTTTGTTGAAGAACTTTTGATTTAGTTCAGTAGGAGGAATGGAATTAAGTTGTTTTATGATTCTCATAAAATGTCATCTGATAAAAAACATCCTTAACTAGACACATCGGTGTCTCCTTTGTATGTAAGAGTATATATCTCTATCTATATAGCTGAGAATCATAAACCACACCACCTGACATGCCATAATGGGTAAATCCCTCCCTATGTGCCGACTGTGATTTATTATTTAGAACACATGTTCAAGAACAGGGATATGCCCACGTTTGTTAACTGTGCATGCCAAATTGCGATTTGTACTGCCCATTTGTGAAACTCATTTCCCATTCAAGTTGTGGTGTGAAGTTCATGGCAAGGGTAGAAAAGCTCTTGAGTGTTTTCTCAGATTCTTTAGATAAAGGGAGACTTGGGGTCATGAGGCCAGAGGGACAACCAGGAATCTCAGAGAAGACGCTCCTTGCTCTTCTGATCTCTTTGGAGGTATTTTTAGTCCCAGCTTTAGCTTGACTCCACTAGTCTCCACTGAAAGAATAACACTGGGAAGGAGAGAAACAGGGAACGTGGACAGTGGCACCAAAGTGTCTCATTCCAGGTCTGCTCTATAATTAGGCAGGGTTCAACACTGTAATTTCAATTTGACATTATGATTTTCCTGCCTCTATTTAATGCTCAGTATATGGGAGACCTTAGTGATCATTCTCAAAGATGGTTTTTTTTAATTAAAAAAATGATTTAAACCTAGACTTGTTCCCTCAAGCAGTTCATTGGTTCACATAGCCAACAGATATTTATTTTGTCCCTACTCTGTAGAAATTATAGTGCTAAGTGAATTGATAGAGTGTGAACAAGTCAGACTCCCTGTCCTCATGTAGCTGACGATCTGGGAAGACTGACCTCAAAGAATTAATTACATACTTACATTTAAATGATCGTGGAAATGGTCATGGAAAAAAAGCACAGGGTGCTATGAAAATATACAATAAGGAAACAAATCAGGGGCTCAAGAAAGGCTTTCTGGTACACGTGATGTTTTGGCTGATATCTGTAGATGAATATGGATTAACCAGGCAAAGAGCAGAGGGTGAAGAAAAAAGAATTTGGTGAATCAAATAGTTCACATATTAAAGCAATGTATTCAGATTAATTCTATGTGTTACCGTTCATACTAATGAAAAAGTCATGTAGTACCTTGATTTTTTTGTATAAGGATAGTTTAAATAAGTATATACTCATCTATATTGGAGGATTTTTTAGGAGAAGTGATATCCAAAGTAATCGTCACCTGTTGTGTCCCCAGATGGACAGATCTTTAGTTCGGGCTGTGAAATGGCTTCAATGTAGTCAGAGGAAATAGGCTGTAACCCACAGGTTTCCTCTGGGTGAATCAGCAAACCACAATCCTGTATTAAAATGGTAGAAATTAGCTGTAATTAACCTGACCTATAGTAATAAAATCTAAAAAAATAAGATTATTTTTTGTGCCAAATAACCTTTGCAGATAAAAGGGAACAATTGTTTACCCTTCTTGTGGTATTGATTTATCAATAGTTGTTTGTGCTAGAAGTAACTACTTGCATTGAGAGATGAACATAAATCCTAATGACAATTTAATCTTTATTTTGGCATTGATATTCATTACTGCATTAATACTGTCATTGATATTATTATTGCTCTGCCATTTTTTAAAGAAATGGATGCAAGTTTTACCTTAAAAAAATACGCCTATGTGTTGTTGACTCATTAAAAATAGACTATAAGACTGTAAACTTTTTTCCAGTGAAAAAAACCATTAATGTGAAAAAATGGGAAATATTTGAGAATGTTAACAGATGAATTTCATTTCAATGCACATTTATTAAGGACCCATAATATGCCAGACATGGAATTAAATACATATATTTTATTCAAAATATGTTCATATATTTATAAAAGTAGGTAACATGTCACTGCAGTGCATATCATTATAGATGCATATCTATTAAGCAATGCTTTCTCTAGTCTGACACGTGCAGTGGAGAATAGCAGTTTGGCTCTCTGAGATCTCTCTTCATCTCTCCTCTGCTCCAGCAGGTCAGAGCACTCTCATTTTCACTTAGCTTTTCCTTCCTTCCTTCCTTCCTTCCTTCCTTCCTTCCTTCCTTCCTCCCCCCCCCACCTTCCCTGCTCCTCCCTCCTCTCTTTCTCTCATGCACATATGTGCTCTCTTTTTATCTAGGTAAAATTGATATATAACATTATATAAGTTTCAACTATAGAATGTTACAATTCAACGTGTACACACTACAAAGTGATCTTCTAGCTTCTTCTTACAAGGTATTGGCTCCCGTATCTCGCCTGTGTCCCTCCATCCTGCCTCGCCTGATTCCACCGTCTCCCTCTTCACAGGGTTCTGTCAGTCTATCACTAGGGTGGGTAAAATGCTATTATCTCTGCTGGGAATGCTTTCCCTCTAATTTTTCCTGGAGAGCATCTTTTTGTGTTTTAGGTCTCAGCAAGGCCTTCTTGGAACTCTGGCACAGTATGTCTCCCCACTCTCGTCCATGTCATCCCTGCTTGTTGCCTTCATACCCTTCACCATTTGGTGATAATTTGTTATTTGTGTCTTTTCCACTAGACTGAACACTCCATGAGAGCAAGTAATTATTTCACGCACACATATGCCCAGTCCCTACCATAGAGTAGACAAATATTTATTGAAGGCATAAAAGGTTAGGCATAATTGTTTCCCACTTCATATCATAAATTCTCAGTAATGGAGAGAAATAATTGGTTTGACCTCTTTGCTCTGTAACTCTGTCTCTAATGAGCAGTTTCTAGTCACCTTCCCTCACCCTCTCACATTTATCCTCACACCCAACTCAGACTTCCACATCTCATACAAGAAGGTCCAGGATATTAAGGAACAAAAGGAATGAGGGTGATGTACAGACTTCATGAAATCTTGATTCAGTATACATATTTCCATTTTTAAATTCATAACTGAAGTTGGAATTTAGAATACCTATTAAAGGTCAGGAATGTGATTTGTATTAGAGTGTTCATTATAAAAAAGCAATTAAAATAACACAAAGTTAATAATAATGTGAGGAGTTTTAGTCTCAATAAACGTCTATGAATGTGTGTGTGTGTGTGTGTGTGTGTGTGTGAGATAGCTATCTATACATTTATTTTTGGTACAGGCTGAACCTTTTTGTAAGGCTAGAAAAAATAACATTAAGCATCTATGAGACTGCAAAAAATGTTTATATCAAACATGAGGAAGGGCAATGAGAAATAACATTATACCCAAGTGATGTGATTGCAAATGAGTTCAGCTACTTTTGGAGAGAAATTTATACTTAAAAAAAACTCACAGACTCCATAGCCCTGAAGTCAGACTTCTCAGAGTCTACTCTAGAGAAACCCTCATGTAATGTATAAGGATAGACCTAAATGGACTAACTAACATGGAGAGATTTCCAAGACACATGATAAAGAAAAAGAACAAAACCTAAATAAATGCTTTGTTATAGAACAACATATATCATATGAAACACACGGTGAACGTGCCACCAAGTCACCTAAATTCAGGTACTTCAGACTGAGATGTTATGCTCGATGTATTAATAAAAAGATAACCTTTTAGCGTATATAAATCAACATAGATAGAGATAGATGATGATAGATAGATTCATTCATGCATGCAAATAATGTTGAAACATTTCTAAAATTCTGGATTTAGATAAACCTTTGCTGAAGATTATTGTTTGTTTGGGGTCTCTCTGGTGTGTGTGTGTGTGTGTGTGTGTGCGCGCACGCAAGGCCATATCCTAATATTCACGAGGAGGGCATCAGAGAGTCCAGATCACAGCTGACGAAGTCCTAGCTGTTCTCTGTTGAAGCCCCACATGTGACTGACATGTATCAATCAATGAGAAAAATGGGCTCTTACATGCGCTGATGGCTTGTCCTGTGGGGGACCCAACTCAATCCCTGACGAGTGGGTGTGGGCTGTTTGGGGAAGCTTGGTCACAGGAGCTTTTCTGAGGTGACAACATCTGAACAGCATAATGAGAAAAATCAGGGGATGAGAGTTCTGAGAAAAAGAAATTGCATGTCAAGCCCACAAGATAAGGCAGGAAAAGGATTTGTCTTACATCCTAAGTAAAAAAAAAAAAAAAAAAAAAAGTCATTTTTAAGAACTCATGTGCTGACAATCTACATTATAATGATCAAATCATGGAACCTTTCTTGAGATGGCACCTCCAAGCTTATCTACTACAAACTCCTACTCAGAGGAAGAACAATTAATTCATAATGTGGTCCTAAGCATTGTTGAATAGTTTCAAAATGGACAAGTATTAATAACTAGCAAGTGCAAAGTTCTTGCTGAAAACGCAAGTTCCCAGCCTCAAGTGGCATCATCTAGCTCATTGTCAGAAGTGCCTTCTTACTCTTGCACTGAAATCTACATCTCATTTGTTCTAATTATCTTCTTAGCTGCAGCTTAGAAAAAATTTACTATAATAATACAGAAGCGTGTTCTGATCCAACTTCAAAGCTTCTGAAACAAATGGCTGGAAATAGAGCGTGATAATCTTCTAAAATGTCCAGTGTTTGCACTTTCTGAATATCGGGGATTCTCCGTATGAGCCCATGATAATAGCGGAAACATAATGTCTGCATTATGTCTGCATAATGTATGCACAGGAAAGCAGACTGGGAGTCCGACTGGGTGACCACACCTGCTCCTTGGAACTTTGGCCTATCTTTGTGTTTGAATTGTTACCTGGCGTGGTGCTATTTCTGCCTCAGGTGGACTTTCCCAGGGGCTACTGTTCTGTGACAGTTGGTAGATCAGACCCGTTGGTTCTAACTAAACAGCCATGACTCTAGTACATTCTAAGATAGGACAGGAATCAAAGTGATACTGCAAAGGATAGACACAGCTGAGGGTAGGAGAGGGAGAGCAGATTTCAAGGTAAATGAAATTTAGTCCTAGCCTCCTTTCTGTAGTTTAGGTCAAAGAATATTCTGTTGTGTTCTGTGTTTCCTTTTGAAATTCTCCTTGGCAGTTAATCTTTGTTTGCAGTTCAAAAATCTGAACCCTTTCAGTTAAACTCTTGGCTATTTTGGAAAGCCAAGGCAGCCTGCTGAAGTGGACGTTATTCATTTTCCAGCCGCAGCCGAACAATGTTACTCTTAAGGTTGAATGAAACACAGCATTTGGCTAAATACAGACCTGGGTCTGGAGACCGGCTGACAGAGTTGGGGGAGTAAGAAGAAGAGTGGTATCAGTATAGCTGGGTGGGCTCTGTGCACAGTTTATGAAATAAGAGAAGAGCGGCATACCCCGGAAGGAGCCCCGCTGTGTTACGAGTCATACTTGTGAATTTTAGTTCCAGCTTTGCCATGAACTGGCTGTATGATGTTGAGTAAGGCACCTGACCTCATTTTCTCAACATAAAATGATGAAAGGTGGAGAGAAAAGAGGGAGAAAATGCATTAAATGATCTCTTAAGTATGACAGCAGGCAATGTTGGGTGCCTACACAATATCCATTCTCCTTTCTTCCTTTCTAACAAGAAGACCTTTGTTTTGTTGTAGGTAGCAATATGTCAGGATTAAAAAAAAAGAAGAAGAAATTCTATTTCCCAGTCTTCTTTGTGGCTAGACATAGCCATGTGATACTATTCTAGCCAAAAAAAAAAAAAAAAAAAAAAAGGAAAGAAAAAAAATTAGTAAGTGAAAGCGGAAGTTGACTACAGATTTCTAGAAAAGTGTTGCTTCTCTGATGTAAGCTTTGCCTCCTTGATGTGCATTTTTTTGGTCACTCTGTTTCTTGATTCCTCTTAGAATGCAGATGTGAGCTTGAAGGAGGAAGAGCCAATGTTGAGACAACCGTGAGCAGAAACCTGAAAGAGCCCAGGGCATAGATGCTGCTGCAGATAACGCAGGGCCAGCTTTGGGTTGTCTACCTCTGCACTTGAGAAACAAACTCATACTTGGTCAAACCACTATGTAAATAAGAATATGCAGCCAAACTTCTCTTTTCCTCTAAGAGTTTATGAAACCTATTCTTCTCAGGCCATATGAATCTTTCTGAGTACTGCTTTAGATATTAAAAGTGATTCACCTACTAATAACAAAATTTAAGCTATCTTGAAAGAAAAACTCATTCGCGTCTCTCATTTCTTTCGTCACTGGGGTGATTAGTAACTTGTTCAGGTTCAGACGTATTCAAGAAAATGAATGACAGCTCTTTTGGTCGTAAGTGTCATCTCTTGGGGCCTCAGAGTCTAGATACACAGAAAAGGTAATATTTAGCAGAGTTGCTTAAAATGGCATTAACCCCAGAAAGCTCCACATTTAGAGTATATCATTTTGCTGGAGACTTCATAGATTCCTGACTGGATTGCCATAACTCTCACTAGAACGCAGTAAGATAATTAGCAGGGATTTCCTTGTTCAGGCATGTGTAGAGTATACCTGTTTAGTATGTAATTTTAAAAATTGACTAACTTTTCATGAAGTGCTATAGTGACTAACAGAAGAATATGAAAGTGCCCTTGGTTTTGTCTGTTGCCCTACCCATGAATTCATGATCACTATTTCTTGTTACCAATTTTTCTGGAAGTCTATTTAGTTCTTATAAAAAGGTGTTTTGCCATAAAAGAATTAGTAGTATTTCTGATTTTTAATGTGATATTGCCATATTTTTGGAGCCATGGACTATTTGATCTGGTAGGTGTCTTTATTTTATTTTATTTTTTAAGATTTTATGTATTTATCTGACACACAGAGAGAGCTATGACAAGTAGACAGACAGGCAGCCAGAGAGAGAGGGAGAAACAGTCTCCCCGCTGAGCATGGAGCCCGATGCGGGGCTTGATCCCAGGACTCTGGGATCATGACCTGAGCTGAAGGCAGATGTTTAACCAACTGAGCCACCCAGGCACCCCTGATAGGTGTCTTTAAATCTTACTTGCTTTTCTGGACCCATGGAATCATGCCTTCAAGATGATAATTGTCTCCCTCTCCTACTAAATAATGAAAATTCATGGGTAGGGCAGTGGACAAAATTTTTTGGGACCAGTCTCCTCAAGCAAGGACAACAAAAGCTAAAATAAACAAAAGGGATTACATCAAACTAAGAAGCTTTTGCATAGTGAAGAAAACCATCAACAAAACAAAAAGGCAACCTACTGAATGGGAGAAGGTATCTTTAAACCATATAACCAATAAGGGGCTAGTATCCAAAATATATGAAGAACTCACACAACTTAATGTCAAAAAAACCCAAACAACCCGATTAAAAAGTGGGCAGAGGACTTGAATGGACATTTTTCCAAAGAAGACATAGAGATGGCCAAAAGGCACATGAAAAGATGCTCAACATCACTAACCATCAATGAAATGCAAATGAAAACCACAAGGAAGTGTCACCTCACACCTGTCAGATTGGCTATTATCAAAAAGACAACAAACAACAAGTGTTGGTGAGGATGTGGAGAAAAGGGAACCTTTGTGCACTGTTGGTGTCAATGTAAATTGGTGCAGCCATTATGGAAAACAGTAATGATTTTCCTCAAAAAATTAGAAATAGAACTACCATACAATCCAGCAATTCCACTTCTGGGTATTTGTCCAAAGAAAATGAAAACACCAATCCAAAAAGATATAAAGATATATTCACCCCTATGTTCACGGAGATATTATTTACAACAGCCAAGATATGAAAGAAATCTAAGTGTCCACTGATGGAAGAATGGATAAAGAAGAAGTGGTGTATATATATATAATGGAATATTACTTGGCCATAAAAAAGAATGAGCTCTTGCCATTTGCAACTATATGGATGGACCTAGAGGGTATTATGCTAAGTGAAATAAGTCGTCAGAGAAAGACAAATACCATATGATTTCACTTACACATGGAATCTAAAGGCCAAAACAAATGAAACAAATCAGAAATAGACCGATAGTAGCAGGAAACAAATTACTGGGAGGCAGGCAAAATAGGTAAAGGGGATTCAGAGGAACAAGTTTTCAGTTATAAAATAAATGTCATGAAGATGTAATGTGTGCTTAGGGAACATAATAAATGATATTGCAATAACTTTGTGAGGTGACAGACAGTAACCAGACTTATCATGGGGATCATTTTATAATGTATAAAAATACTGGATCACTAAGATATACCCCTGAAACTAATAAGATACTGTATGTCAATTATATTTCCATTGTAAAAGAGAAAGAAATGATGCTTCAGAGGAGCTAATTTCACTATCTTGTTCCAAAAGGAATGAATTATTTTTTGTCTTCACATTGTCTCTAAATTTAACAACTGCTTTCCTTGTATTGTAGTCAGCAAGCCATAAAATACTGAGTAGCTCTTATGTGATTCCTATTATTAGATACCCAGTGAACATTTGTAGGAAATTAGCTGAGGTATACATTAGCAATAAATAATTACAGCATAATCCACCTGAAATCATCCCTTACATACCACATTGATCCTAAGACTGAACTTTTTCATTAAGAAAAGAGTGTAATGCATATAAATTCATATGAAAGGAGATTTATGTCCTTTATGGAAGGCATTTTGGAAATATCTTGTGAATATAATTATACTCCACAGATTTTATCCTACAGATACACTTCATAAAGTCTGCAAGGAAATTTACTAGAGTTATTATTTATAATAAGAGAAAATATGACACAATCCAAGTGTTCATCAATAGGAACTGGTTAAATAACATCCACTTAATGGATTATTTTGTAATTCTTAGAAAAGAAGGATGCAGAGTAAAGATATGGAGAGATATATAAGATATATTATTAAGAGCAATAAAGCAAGTCGTAGGACATTATGTATACCAGGATCTTATTTAAGCAAAATAAAATGCTAAATATTACATCTGCTTGACTGTGCCTACATAATTGTTGGAATGATGCCCAAGAAACTCTGAACAGTGGCTCTATTAGAAGATTAAGAATGGTAGGCCAGAGATGAGGCAGCAAAAATGAACTCTTAACATGTTTTTAAAGATCTTGCCATTAGTATGGATCGTTATTATATTTTTAAAAATACATA